TGTGAAGGAGGTATGTGTGATTGTGTGGTGGTATTTGAATGATGTGAAGGAGGTATGTGTGATGGTGTGGAGGTATTTAAATGATGTGAAGGAGGTATGTGTGGTGGTGTGGTGGTATTTGAATGATGTGAAGGAGGTATGTTTGATGGTGTTGTGGTATTTATTTGATGTGAAGGAGGTATGTGTGATGGTGTGGTGGTATTTGAATGATGTGAAAGAGGTATGTGTGATGGTGTGGTGGTATTTATTTGATGTGAAGGAGGTATGTGTGATGGTGTGGTGGTATTTGAATGATGTGAAGGAGGTATGTTTGATGGTGTGTTGATGATATGTGTGGTGGTGTGGTGGTATTTGAATGATGTGAAGAAGGTATGTGGGATGGTGTGGTGGTATTTGAATGATGTGAAGGAGGTATTTGTGATGGTGTGGTGGTATTTAAATGATGTGAAGAAGGTATGTGTTGCGGTGTGGTGGTATTTGAATGATGTGATGGAGATTTATGTGATGGTGTGGTGGTATTTAAATGATGTGAAGGAGGTATGTGTGATTGTGTGGCGGTATTTGAATGATGTGAAGGAGGTATGTGTCATGGTGTGGTGGTACTTGAATGATGTGAAGGAGGTATGTGTGATGGTGTGGTGAATTTGAATGATGTGAAGGAGGTATGTTGATGGTGTGGTGCTATTTGAATGATGTGAAAGAGGTATGTGTGATCGTGTCGTGCTATTTGAAGGATGTGAAGGATGTATGTGGTGTGGTGTGGTGTGGTGGTATTTGAATGATGTGAAGAAGGTATGTGTCATGGTGCGGTGGTATTTGAATGATGTGAAGGAGGTATGTGTCATGGTGTGGTGGTATTTGAATGATGTGAAAGAGGTATGTGTCATGGTGTGGTGGTATTTGAAGGATGTGAAGGAGGTATGTGTGATGGTGTGGTGGTATTTGAAGGATGTGAAGGAGATATGTGTGATGGTGTGTTGCTATTTGAATGATGTGAAGGAGGTATGTGTGATGGTGTGGTGCTATTTCAATGATGTGAAGGAGGTATGTGCGATCGTGTGGTGCTATTTGAAGGATGTGAAGGAGGTATGTGTCATGGTGTGGTGATATTTGAATGATGTGAAGGATGTATGTGTGATGGTGTGGTGAATTTGAATGATGTGAAGGAGGTATGTGGGATGGTGTGGTGAATTTGAATGATGTGAAGTAGGTATGTGTCATGCTGTGGTGGTATTTGAATGATGTGAAGGAGGTATGTGTCATGGTGTGGTGGTATTTGAAGGATGTGAAGGAGGTATGTGTGATGGTGTGGTGGTATTTGAAGGATGTGAAGGAGGTATGTTGATGGTGTGGTGCTATTTGAATGATGTGAAAGAGGTATGTGTGATGGTGTCGTGCTATTTGAAGGATGTGAAGGAGGTATGTGGTGTGGTGTGGTGTGGTCGTATTTGAATGATGTGAAGGAGGTATGTGTCATGGTGGGGTGGTATTTGAAGAATGTGAAGGAGGTATGTGTCATGGTGTGGTGGTATTTGAAGGCTGTGAAGGAGGTATGTGTCATGGTGTGGTGGTATTTGAAGGATGTGAAGGAGGTATGTGTCATGGTGTGGTGGTATTTGAAGGATGTGAAGGAGGTATGTGTGATGGTGTGGTGGTATTTGAAAGATGTGAAGGAGGTCTGTGTGATGGTGTGTTGCTATTTGAATGATGTGAAGGAGGTATGTGCGATGGTGTGGTGGTATTTGAAAGATGTGAAGGAGGTTTGTGCGATCGTGTGGTGCTATTTGAAGGATTTGATGGAGGTATTGGTATGGTGTGGTCATGATATGTGGGATGTTGTGGTTCTATTTGAAGGATGTGAAGAAGGTATGTGCGATCGTGTGGTGGTATTTGAAGGATGTGAAGGAGGTATCTGCGATCGTGTGGTGGTATTTGAATGATGTGAAGGAGGTTTGTTGGATGGTGTGGTGGTATTTGAATGATGTGAAGGAGGTATGTGTGATGGTGTGGTGGTATTTAATTGATGTGAAGGAGGTATGTGTGATGGTGTGGTGGTAGTTGAAGGATGTGAAGGAGGTATGTGTGATGGTGTGGTGGTATTTGAATGATGTGAAGGAGGTATGTGTGATGGTGTGGTGGTATTTATTTGATGTGAAGGAGGTATGTGTGATGGTGTGGTGGTATTTGAAGGATGTGAAGGAGGTATGTTTGATGGTGTGGTGGTATTTGAAAGATGTGAAGGAGGTTTGTGCGATCGTGTCGTGCTATTTGAAGGATTTGAAGGAGGTATTGGTATGGTGTGGTCATGATATGTGGGATGTTGTGGTGCTATTTGAAGGATGTGAAGAAGGTATGTGCGATCGTGTGGTGGTGTTTGAATGATGTGAAGGAGGTATGTGTGATGGTGTGGTGGTATTTATTTGATGTGAAGGAGGTATGTGTGATGGTGTGGTGGTATTTGAATGATGTGAAGGAGGTATGTGTGATGGTGAGGTGGTATTTGAAAGATGTGAAGGAGGTATCTGCGATCGTGTGGTGGTATTTGAATGTTGTGAAGGAGGTATGTTGGATGGTGTGGTGGTATTTGAATGATGTGAAGGAGGTATGTGTGATGGTGTGGTGGTATTTATTTGATGTGAAGGAGGTATGTGTGATGGTGTGGTGGTATTTGAATGATGTGAAGGAGGTTTATGTGATGGTGTGGTGGTAATTATTTGATGTGAAGGAGGTATGTGTGATGCCGTGGTGGTATTTGAATGATGTGAAGGAGGTATGTGTGATGGTGTGGTGGTATTTGAATGATGTGAAGGAGGTATTTGTGATGGTGTGGTGGTATTTAAATGATGTGAAGAAGGTATGTATGGCGGTGTGGTGGTATTTGAATGATGTGATGGAGATTTGTGTGATGGTGTGGTGGTATTTAAATGATGTGAAGGAGGTATGTGTGGTGGTGTGGTGGTATTTGAATGATGTGAAGGAGGTATGTGTGATGGTGTGGTGGTGTTTAAATGATGTGAAGGAGGTATGTGTGGTGGTGTGGTGGTATTTGAATGATGTGAAGGAGGTATGTGGTATGGTGTGGTGGTATTTGAATGATGTGAAGGAGGTATGTGTGATGGTGTGGTGGTATTTATTTGATGTGAAGGAGGTATGTGTGATGGTGTGGTGGTATTTGAAAGATGTGAAGGAGGTTTGTGCGATCGTGTGGTGCTATTTGAATGATGTGAAGGAGGTATTGGTGTGGTGTGTTCATGATATGTGGGATGTTGTGGTGCTATTTGAATGATGTGAAGAAGGTATGTGCGATCGTGTGGTGGTATTTGAATGATGTGAAGGAGGTATGTGCGATCGTGTGGTGGTATTTGAATGATGTGAAGGAGGTATGTTGGATGGTGTGGTGGTATTTGAATGATGTGAAGGAGGTATGTGTGATGGTGTGGTGGTATTTGAAGGATGTGAAGGAGGTATGTGTGATGGTGTGGTGGTATTTGAATGATGTGAAGGAGGTATGTGTGATGGTGTGGTGGTATTTATTTGATGTGAAGGAGGTATGTGCGATCGTGTGGTGCTATTTGAAGGATGTGAAGGAGGTATGTGAGATGGTGTGTTGATGATATGTGTGGTGGTGTGGTGGTATTTGAATGATGTGAAGGAGGTATGTGGGATGGTGTGGTGGTATTTGAATGTTGTGAAGGAGGTATATGTGATGGTGTGGTGGTATTTGAATGATGTGAAGGAGGCATGTGTGATGGTGTGGTGGTATTTAAATGATGTGAAGGAGGTATGTGTGGTGGTGTGGTGGTATTTAAATGATGTGATGGAGATTTGTGTGATGGTGTGGTGGTATTTAAATGATGTGAAGGAGGTATGTGTGGTGGTGTGGTGGTATTTGAATGATGTAAAGGAGGTATGTGTGATGGTGTGGTGGTATTTAAATGATGTGAAGGAGGTATGTGTGGTGATGTGGTGGTATTTGAATGATGTGAAGGAGGTATGTGGGATAGTGTTGTGGTATTTGAATGATGTGAAGGAGGTATGTGTGATGGTGTGGTGCCATTTATTTGATGTGAAGGAGGTATGTGTGATGGTGTGGTGGTATTTGAATGATGTGAAGGAGGTATGTGTGATGGTGAGGTGGTATTTGAAAGATGTGAAGGAGGTATGTGCGATCGTGTGGTGCTATTTGAAGGATTTGAAGGAGGTATTGGTATGGTGTGGTCATGATATGTTGGATGTTGTGGTGTTATTTGAAGGATGTGAAGAAGGTATGTGCGATCGTGTGGTTGTAGTTGAAGGATGTGAAGGAGGTATGTGCGATCGTGTTGTGGTATTTGAATGATGTGAAGGAGGTATGTGGGATGGTGTGGTGGTATTTGAATGATGTGAAGGAGGTATGTGTGATGGTGTGGTGGTATTTAATTGATGTGAAGGAGGTATGAGTGATGGTGTGGTGGTATTTGAATGATGTGCAGGAGGTATGTCCGATGGTGTTGTGGTATTTGAATGATGTGAAGGAGGTATGTGTGATGGTGTGGTGGTGCTGTATGTGCCAGTGTGGTGGTGGCGAGTGTTACGGTGTTGTGCTTCTTAAAGAATATAAAGGAGGTATTGTAATAGTGTTGTTATCTGTATAATAAATGCCAGTGTGGTATGTGTGATGGTATGGAGGTATATATGTTTGTAAATGAGTTTGAAGCAATGGTAATCGTACTTTTCTCAAAACTAACAAAACGTTTTAGATATGAATATGGAAATCAAATAAGTCACACAATCACATTCACACAACTCTTGTTACATAGGGTCCATTCCAGACCTCCTTTATGACATGTCCTATTCTCCGATACCAGCAACAAACCGTTTCATCGTAAAAAATAACATAGATCAGATATAAACACTATAAAATGTTAGGAGACCACTTACCGAGAACCGGGAACGAAACTCGAAAAATACACATCAGTGAAGAAGGTAACTTAGAAGTTATAACCTGTCTTGTCTTGAAGGGGGAAACTACAATAGTCTCCGAGGCTACCTTGAAGAACGCTGCCAACTGCTGCCTTTTCAAAACCTCATCAATATGAGGCATGGAAACATTGCACCGTTTCTTGTTTGGTTGATAGGTACCAGCATTACAGAAGGTAAGTCTTAAATTCGTTCTTCGCATTATATGAACATGTAACATGTAGGTACATACATGTACCTAACATTGTGTATTGAATTGTGTGTATAAACGAAGTATAAGCCACTGAATAAAAGATTAAAGTATTTTTGCTTGATACAGACAGTTTCAGCGATTCGCTCAATACTCTTTTTTCATCATTTCTCAACATTGGCCAACCAGATGTCATATATTTCTGTTTCCGCCTTGTAAAATATCATTCAAGTGAAAACCAATTTGTACAGGCATGATAACGCTATGATGTTTAACATAACATCACTCGCTTGTGAAGTCTTAGAGTCGGCGGGCCTATTTCACCGGAAATATGTATTTGCAACTTGTGAACTGGTAATGATATATTTCGTTACATGTGTTGACGAGCCAATCCCTCAACCTTCGATTTCAAGGCGTATACGAACATTCAGGTCTTAAATTCCCGCACATGTACATCCCATTAGTTACAATAAATAGAGCCGAGACATATGCAGCGACATTATATCATCGAACATTGGATATGATCTGATATATACTCTCCAAAAATGAAGGAGATCATGAAATACAAATGTTATGATAGGTCGTCATAAGAATGACTAGCTTTGAAAACTAACTGCCAGGGATAGAACGCCTCAAAACACCCCGTGAAAGTGGGTAGGGGTCATTCTTGGTTTTGACGCTTCAGTGTAAGGATGTTAATTTTGATTATCCACAGTAACATGTAATGCAGATGTTGTAATCAGTTTGGAACGCATCTTCTACAACGTGATGAACGCTAAGGGGCTATTGACATGCTTCAAAATGGTAGAACTCAGCGAGAGGTAGCCAATATGTTCAATGTGTCCCAGTCCGTGCTTTGCAGACTTTGGAACACGTTTCTGCAAACACAAAATATGAATGATTGGCCCTGGAATCTGCGCGAATCTCCGAGGGTCTCGTTTAATGTCTCACTCTAGACTTTCTGGATAGGCGTGGACGTGTCTGGAAGCGTCCTACCGAACGTCAACGTAAGGAGAAATGACAGATTTAGAGGTGGGTCTGTAATGATATGGGTGGCATAACAATGAGTGCCAGAACACTACTGCATATCGTCCAAGGAAGGGTCACTGGACAGTACTGCCGAAATAATATACAATCGCCCAGTTGTGCCGCTTGCGCGCCCTGCTGATCCACGTTTGTGTTTCAAGACGATAACGCTCCTGGCTACCATGCTCACTACATCCAACATCAGAATGCAATAGTCAGCCATGCGTCCTGACGTGTCTGCCATTGCGAACGTATGGGACATGTTCGGGAGACGTGTACGCTGACGTCAAAGGCCACAGCTACTTTAGAGAACGTGGCCATGCGCTGCAAGAGGAGTGGACAAGACTCCCTCAAATTGTCATTTGGAAATTGATTCGGACAATGCAACGCCGTATAAATGATGCTTTTACCAATCGCGGGGACATGACCCATTATTGATCAAGTCTTCTCAAACGTTCATTTTTTACACCACACCTCTGTCGTCCTTCTTGGTTGTTACCACCCTTACAATACACTGCCAACATGTTCTGTTGTCATGTAACACCGAGGCCGTCCTTCTTGGTTGTTACCACCCTTACAATACACTGCCAACATGTTCTGTTGTCATGTGACACCGAGGCCGTCCTTTTCTTATCCACACTTTTCCATCACTCGATGCCTCTTTGTATTTCTGCAATCATCTGTTATTTTCGAATATCCCCCAGTTTTTCTACAAGTATATGTGCAATAATGCTTTCACATGTTTCATTATGTATAGTAAAAAGTATGCAATGTAATCAATTGATTTACAGTTGCGTCCATATCATCACCTAACCTTCCGATTGCGACCACCCGCCATGACACATTGAAGGACTATAATACGAATCTGCGCCCGGAAGAACATACTGTGATTAACGTCACCATGGTTTTAACTTCCTTGAATAAACTGGTAAGTGAATTATGAAAATCGATCAAATACTTGTACTTACTTCAACATTTATCATCAAGATTAAGACCCGTGAAGATCCGGGATAGAATGGGTCTTCAGCAACCCATATGCTTGCTGTAAAAGGCGACTATGCTTGTCGTAAGAGGCGACTAACGGGATCGGGTGGTCAGGCTCGCTGACTTGGTTATCGATCTCAATTGCGTGGATCGATGCTCTTGATGTCAATCACTGGATTGTCTGGTCCAGACTCGATTATTTTACAGAGAGCCGTCATATAGCTGGAATATTGCTGATTGCAGCGTTAAACAACAAACAAACATCATGATTGAACACACATTACCAATGACTAAAAATCCTTAATTACATACAGATATGATTGTCAAAGATTCCAAATCAGAACTGAAAATGCCAAGAACATATCTGAAGGTGTCTCGGTAAAGGTATTTAATGTAATTAAATAATGGGAGCCATTCCTTATCAAATAAATTGTCCTCCATCTGCGGAATATTAATAATTTGAGAGGTTGTTGTGTTATACAATGATTCTGGAGCTTTTTATTTTATTTTAAAGGATGTTTCTTCCCAGATTTTACAAACCACATTTCTGCTCCACTTGGTAAGTAAATTACAACGAACATTCCTTCAATAATAATATTTCTAAAACTGAGCACAAAATCATATTGCCTTTAAGATGGTGTCTTTCAGATGCTACACCAAGTAAACACAACAAATGGAAATGATAAATAATGGTGTGCAAAGAAGTGTAAACAGGTAATATAATTATAATTGGGAATTTCTTTATTTTCCTAGGGGACTATACTTAAGATATACTTTTCATTTTAAGCTTATGAGTTTTATCACATCTCTTTAATGACATCTCATTACGTTCAGTCCTGGATTGATGAACGCCTTACATGGACACCAACAAATACTTCATCTCCAGACTATATCATATTTTACGCAAAAGAAATCTGGACACCGCCGCTTGTCGTCAACAATGCGTAAGTTATTGAGATGTTCACAAAGTCTTCGTGACAATTATATCCATAATAATTTCATAATTATATGTATACGTACACGTACAGATGTATTCCTGTTAACTCACACAGCCACAGTGACTACGAATTTCTGGGAATATTACGTAAAAACAATTAAACGTTTACAACAACTGCTTACACGTGCACATAACTCAACAAGCTAAGACATGGCTGACGTCGAGTAACCAGTGCATGGCTATAATAAGCGGCTGACTGATGAACCTTGGCATATATTGAAGTCAAGTATTTATCTGCAATTATAAAAATTCAAGGAAGGCATGTTTCCAATAACAATACATGCGTAATACTGGCGTTATCACCTATTTTCAGGATTGACGATGCAATAAGCATCCTCAAGGAAGAAATCGTCCCCATGAGGGTGTCAAATAGGGGTAATGTTTTGTGGATTCCACGGCTTTCGCCAACAACAACATGCTCTGTGGACATTTCCTATTTCCCTTATGACATTCAACACTGTCACATCAACATCACAAGCTGGACACACGCAAACTTTGAAGTTGAACTGAACCCAGTGGAAACTGCCTACTACACGAACAAGGTCTATCTGGGCTTCTATCCTGATGACAAAGAGTGGTTTCTACAACGTTATGGTGTGAGCAAGCAAGACATTATTGGGGGACATGGTTTTGATTACACAAACCTCCAATACTCCTTTGTCTTCGAACGGCATCATCCTTTCTACAAAGCCATGCTTATTGTTCCGTTTGCTGTCCTTTCACTATGTTTATGCTTTACACATGTGATTCCATTGAAATCTGGAGAAAAAATATCTTTTGCCATCACGACGATGGTGGCCTTTCAGTTGTATCAGGTTATGCTCTCAGAGCTTTTACCACCAATTGCAGAGTTCACAGAAACTTACACGTTCGGTAAGTATAGACTATTGAAATACACCAGTTTGTACTCTTACACAGTTTGGACTGGTCCAAACTCGAGCACATAGGTATCGCCTTCATATAGAGCTTACTAACCACCCAATAAGCCATATTTAACGGCCCGGATATTACCTAGTCCAAACTCTAGTCAGTACATACGATACTGGCGTCAAACAATTAACCAGTCTAATATATATATATGTACAGGTGTATAAGGTAAAGCTACAAAACTCTCTACATGACTTCTTTTATCAGGTGGAGAAATGTTTTGACATTCACATTTCATTTTTTCAGGAAAGTACTTGATGTGTGTATGGATTCATGCAGCCATTGTCACGATCGGTACCGCAGTTCAGTTACGTGCATTCTACTGGGAGGAAGAAGACCCCCCAAAAGACCCCCCAAAAGACAAAAAAAAAACCACGAGAGTGAAAGTTCTGAAAATATTAGATTGTGTTGGCTTCATTTTGTCTTTTGTGTATTGGTTCATTATAACAACTTATTTTCTTACAACGCTTACGAAAGGTACAGATAAGGAATTACCCGCAAACGTGGATCTGTAGAAACTATGCAAATCCCTATTTCTGCTTCCGCTGTTTGACTGCATACTGAATGAGTACAGTGTTTTTGTAAACTAAGCTTTTGGTGCCTAGTCAATTTATCATCTTTTAGCCAATAAATTGGTTTAAAAAGTCATTGGAAAAAAGCTCTAAATGAAGAAAATGTGTTTCATATAATTTGAAAATGAGTGTGCAAACGCGTAAAGGTACGTATTTCACGAAACAAAATAGATCATTGTGAAATTACAAGGTTATAAAATGTTCAGAAAAGTTTGCCGACCGAGACCGACGGGCAAAACAACCCTGAAATTAGAAAAATAAATAAAATGACTTGTGACAATTGTTTTTTGACTCACAATAAGGTGAAATAAAAAAACACCATGAGACTTTGTCACAGCTGTGGGTATGAAATGGTGAATAGTACGTATACAAATCTTTATTATAACAAGAAACCCAATCAAGTATCGTTCGGTATAGCTTCCTTCTATGATGTTGTGACCTACGAGTTTGTTTTTCATTCATCAGAAACAGTACTAATCTGGAAGATGAATATTATTAAAACATATTTCCACCACCTACATGGAATTTTAGGACAAAAGGTTTGTAAACCAACAAATAAAAAAAGCCTTAGATGATAGTTCTAACTTTCTTAATCAGGCTTTGTGTAATCAAACATTTATGAATGCAGGTTATAATATTAGAGAGAGCATGGGTGGCACAGTGGTCTAAGGCGCCGCAATTCACAGTGCAGTGTTGCGTCCTTTGGGTGTGCCAGAATCCTTTTACAAGTGGCAAACGTCTGAGACCTATATGGACATCATTTCAACCTTTCATCCTACGTTAAACTGACCCTAATATTTGTTAAACCCAACACATTCACAAAATTGAGTGATTATTTAGAAATTTGGCAAATATATTCTTCAGGTTTGTACAGACAATTGCGTTTGTGAAGACCAGTGCAAAATCAGTATCTTACTGTACAAGAGCGTTACTGTAGGATTGACTGGTATGCATTTGTGACCAGTAGATGACAGAAAAACTGAGCAGGAGTAAGGCATAGCTACTGTTTGTTCAGCTATGTGAAAGCTATGTATATTGTTGTGGGATCAACAGAGCTGATTATCATATTTGCGTAGTGTTCATGTTGTCAGTCACAAATTCATTCTTATGCTACCTGAATTTTTCTCGGCATTGTAAAACCTATGACCAAGCTATGTATACGGTGTATTACTTACCTACTCAGCAACAGTTAGTGAAAACATTTACAAAACAAGTCTGGTCAAACAAGCTATGATTATTGAAATCACTGAGTTTGATCTAATGCCAATCTAAGGTCACAATTGTAGTATTTAAATTTTATCACCTAAATGAGTATTTTGTTTTTATTCTTGAATCTTGCCTGTAAATTTGAGTAGCTGAAATTGTGTTAAAGTTAAGTTGTTTGTTCTATTGTTATTTGCTGAGAAAAGTGTGCAAATATTCGTGTGGTCTGCCATTTTGCACTTTTCCCTCGAGACATAAATTTTTTTCGGCTTCGGTATATTTAAAAAAATACTTTAAGAAATTGTAAACATTATAAGTCACTATTGTGTACATTTTGTAAAGACAATTTTGAGTATCTACACACCTGGGTGATTTTTTGGTGTTGGCACGTGGTCCTGGGTGCAGTGCACGGGTCACAAAGAAGGTGAAATTAAGCAAAGTTGGTCTCGGATAGTAGTTCGGCAGCTTGACTCCTGAGAATTCCTAGAGCTTGGGTCCTGCCCAACACTGAAGCATATATAGCACATGTCTGAGGCACTTCAATCTTTATATGATAATGTGAAATGCAGTGTACGTATAAATGGTATGCTTTACACCCTGGTTTAATGTTAATCGGGGCTTAAAACAAGGATGTTTACTATCGCCAATTCTGTTTAACTTTTTTATTTATGATTTACTTGACAAGCTAAATGAAACTAGTATTGGTATTTGTGTTGATGATATGACTATTGCAGCCTTAGCATATGCTGATGATCTGATTTTTCTTGCAGAATCGGCAGATGATTTGAATCGCCTATTACATGTTATGAATACATGGTGTGTTGGTAAATAGTATCCTTATTAAGAATGACAGATCCAAGACTGTACACTTTAGAAATGTAAGCGTTCCAATAACAACAGCCTTTTTGTAATATTGGTAACTCTGTTTTAGATACTGCTGATTGTTATAATTATCTAGGCCTACTGCTCACGGAACATCTTGACTACAATGCTATAGCAAAAGCAGCAGCTATATCGGCTAACAGAGCATTAGGTCTTCTTATATGTAAAAATAAGGCATTCTGAGGTATGCAATCCACAACTTATTCCAAATTGTATGATACGATGGTTTGGTCAGTCTTGAGTTATGGGGCATCTATCTGGAGTCATCGTGTCATTTCTACTGTTAGTGCCGTTCACCATCGTGCTTTGACATTGTTCTTAGGGTGGGTAAATACGCTCCAAATGCTGCTGTTCATGGAGATATGGGATGGATTCCCCCATTAGTTAGACAGTGGATGTGTATTGTTAGACAGTATTGTCGTTTTACTAAAACGCCCTATAGATTGAAGAAGTATGTTTTTATGTGGTCTGAACGGACGTGTGAAAAACTGGAATTTTCTTGTGAGGGCAGAGCTGAACGAATGGAGTTTTAATATTTCTCAGAATGTAAGCGTGAAAAGTGTAGTTGTACGTGTGCATGGTATATGCGTGGAAAAGTATGTATCTGATTGGAATGAACTGTTATGCACGCCTGGCGGAAGAACGGGTAGTAATAAATTACGTACGTACAGAATGTTTAAAGATGTGTATGGGTGTGAAAGTTATGTAAGTATGTATATGCCTCGTTCTTACCACTCTGCCTTCTCCAAATTTAGATCAGATACTGCTCCTCTAAAGTTGGAAACAGGCAGATCTACGAATATGAATGTGAATGAAAGAGTGTGTTTTTAGTGTAAGGAAAGTATTAAGGATGAATCTCATGTATTGCTCGATTGCCCTGTGTACGATGATCTCGTAAACGTTTATACGTAAGGTCAGTTTTAGCTATTTCAACTTACTAGATATAAATAATACTGATAAGCTTATTTTACTTTTTAAATATTATCTATATTTTATAGCCTACACCTGCTTTAAATTATCACGCTAGTGACCGGAAGTATATTTTATATACTCCTTTTACACTATTATATTCATGTTGTATATACTGTGATATATTTTAAGTCTCTAGTCACCCTTAACGGGTGGCTCACTTATATGTACTGTTATATGTATCTATGTTAATATTGTAGTGAGGTGAGACTCAAATAAACAATCTGTCTGTCTGTCTGTGTTGTCTCCTTAGGCAAACATGATGTGCTCACCTGGCAGTGAAAGGTGGTAATGTGAATGTTACCCTTTCAGTGCCCCACAGGCAGCATGGGTTGTATACTCCCCGAGGGGGTCCCATTAAATCCAAACAACATGAGATGCACATTCGGAAGGAAGTTACATGGGAATTTTCACGTCATGTATGGTCAAGTCACGAAAGTCCTTCATGAGTGTACGGCGACTCGTCACATATAACTGACGTCACATTGTGTCATACATTGATGAACTATAAAGCTATTTTGAAAAAAATATTACCTGCCGTTTTTTATATTATTATGCACAATAAATATTTTGTATAATAACGTGTTGTTACTGTGGAAGATGATCTTCTCCTGCTCACGTAATAGTGCCATAACGTCTTTTCTGATTGGTTAATAATGGTAACATCACTATTTATTTTCAAATATGAAAGAGTACCCAGCATTCGATAATATCCTTATTGAACTGACTGCTTCTGTCCCTCTCCCGACCTTTGTCAGGGTACGTAGATTGAAATCTAATATACTCTTGAAAAAAGAAGACCCGTGAAGATTCCGGGGTAGAATAGGTCTCCAGCAACCCATGCTTGCCGTAAAAGGCGACTATGCTTGTCGTAAAAGGCGACTAAGGGGATCGGGTGATCAGGTTCGCTGACTTGGTTGATACATGTCATCGATCCCAATTGCGTGGATCGATGCTCATGATATCAGTCACTGGATTGTCTGGTCTAGATTGGTTGGTTGGTTTGTTGTTGTTTAACGCGGCGTTAAACAACAAACCAATAAACCAACTTAAAAAAAGAAACGCAAAACGGAAACTTTTGGCCATAAAAGGAAAATTAGCGGACCAAGAGGCGCAAAATGAAGAGGTTTAATGTGTTATGGTCAAAATCACCACAACAAGGACATGAAAACTATTTGTCGGGAAACACGTACGATTCGGAAAAGGGCCATGCAACAGCACTATGAACGGTTTTAAAGTGCAGGGATTTTGATTGCCTGGCATCTGCGTCAATCGAACAGTGACAGTTCAACAACATACCAAGAATAACAGAAGTGCAAAGAAACAACGTCATAGGCCGCTTGCAGGCAGGGGAATCCCAATCAACTGTAGCCAGGGTTTTCAATGTAGCGCCCAGCACCATCAAAAGGCTATGGGATCAGTTTTCAACAGCATGGGTCAACACATGATCGGCAAAGGTCAGGACGACCAAGAGTAAACACCCCCGCCCAAGATGGCTACATCTGACTGCAACCTACGAGCAATAAAGAACCACAGCCACCTCAACCGCATCCGAAATAGCAGAATCTCCGACCAGACCGTACGAAACCGTTTAAGACAAGCAGGTCTACGAGCAAGACGTTCTGTTCAACGCGTCATATTGAGTCGACAACATCGTCAACAACGACTGTATTGGTGTCGTCAACACAGGGTATGGCCTCAACTGCGATGGAGAGATGTCTGGTTCAGCGACGAATCAAGATATTTCCTCCGTCGAGGGGATGGAAGGGCAAGGGTCTACAGACGTCGGGGAGAACGTTACGCCGGAAAGTGCGCACAGGAAGTGGACAGGTTTGGTGGGGGTAGCGTTATGATGTAGGCGGCTATCTTTCATCATGCCAGGACAGGTTTGGTACATTTCCAGTGCAATCTTACGGGTCAACCATACATCGACGAAATTTTCCTACCACACGTCCTCCCAATTGCAGCCAACGGCAACGATGTATTCCAGCAGGACAACGCTCGACCGCATTCAGCACGGATCATAAGAGCCTTTCTACACAACAACAACGTTGATGTTCTCCGTTGACCCTCCAGATACCCGGATTTGAACCCGATAGAGCACCTGTGGGATGAATTGGATAGATGGCTACGCCGACGTCAATCACAACCCCAGACGTTGCAGCAGCTGGCTTTTGCGTTGCAGGCCGAGTGGGCTACCATTCCCCAGGACGTGATTCGCATATTCGTCTCTTCCATGGGCAGGAGATTTCAGGGACATACGCGTTATTGATGGAAGCTTACCTTCATTTTGGACTTTTCCCATATACCAATAACTGAGATGACTACAATCACCAAGTGTTCTCTCCACAATATTTTGGCTCAATACCTTGTACGGTTCCTCGTATAAATGTATTTTCCTACCTCACTCAAATCTGGCTTTGCGTTTCTTTTTTTGAAGAGAATATTTTGACCATTCATTATATTATGACACCACTGATCATATTATACAACTTACACTTTTCTGGAACAAGAATGGATCTACTTAGACAAAATATTATTAGTGCACTTGTAACCAATTGTGTACATAGCACATCGCCTTCACATAATAAAAGTATATCTGCACATCATTTCAGCGTCTAGCCGCTCTTTAACTCTCTGTAATAAGGTTCACATAATATCGGCTAACAAGACATCAACCTTGGGCTGTTGCAATGTACCATTTAAACCTTGATGAGACATCCACAAATGGAAGCAAACAAGAAGACAAAATCATCTGTATCTCTGGGGCTTTTGAGTGTGTATATGATGTATAGCTGACTGAACCTATGAAACGTGATTGATCATTAGGAAATTGTATACACATACCCATCCGAACAGTTACAGGCACAGGGACCTTACTTGTTTTCATATATGAAAGTATGATTTTTGTTCAAATACTTCTGAAGCAATACAGAATGTTTCATGGCTGCACAAAACCCACACAAGGTGAGGTGGGGTGAAACTAAGCTTAACGTCGCGTCAAAGATTATTGCACTTATATAGCGACGTGCATGCAAGTCCGGACTGATGCCAATTTATAGTGTCAACTAACTGAGATACCATACCGCAGTTTAACATGATCCTTTGCATCCCAGAATACAGTGGTCATAACTTTTCTTCACTGATCTTGAAGAATTGAATTTCTTTGGTACCGGAGAAGTGGAATGGTGCCATTCCATGGATTGACGTTTTGACTCAATGATGGTAGACCCATTTTTCATCACCCGTTACTAATATCTTTTTGAATTTGACGAAATTCTTTGTCATTTCGTTTTTCCTTAAGATCAGAAATAAGCAACTTTGGGCCCCAACGAGCCGATGTCTTATTCATCTGTAAATGTTCATGAATAATAGTTTCAATGGGTCCATGGCTTAGACCTGCAATAGTTCCGCAATGGTAATACGTCTATCTGACAAGTTGTTTCTTTCTCCTTGATTGAGTCTTCATTGATGGAAGTTGAGAGACGTCCAGACCTAGGGTCCTCATCAAGGCTTGTTCTCCCAGCCTTAAACAGAGCTGCCCAACGTTAAACAGTGGCATAGCTGGGGCACTTATCCCCATACACTTCTGACATGCGGTCATGAATTTCTTCGGTTTTTTTTTTTTATCTAAGAACAGAATTTGATGACTGCTCGGTACTCGATCTTTTCCATTTCTAAGTCCATTGGGACCACTATCAAGTTCAAGCGGCTGTCACTAATATACAAACCAAATACACTTGCCATTAGCTACACAAACAATGTACTACATTGACTAGTTCACTTTGTTATGGCCCATAGTTGTTAGGTAGTGCTTAGAACCTTTTGACCTGCCCTCGTACTCAACATTGTTATTGAATTGTGTGTATAGATAAAGTAAAAGTCACTAACTGATATATAAAAGGTTATATGACCATGATAGAATTGGCATTATGCAAGAATTGTTGTTTGATATAGAAAGTTTCCTCGACTAGTTTATCGATTCCTATTTCATCATTATTCAACACAAGCCAACTAGCGATCTTATTAGTTTAGGCCTTGTAAAATCCAGTACAAGTCAAAGCCGATGCAAGCCAGAATGCCAGTTGGTACGGGCGTGTGACGTCATTGTTGACTATATTGAGAGTCGGTTGGCCTATTTCACTGGAAATAAGTATAACTTCTTTGAGTGGCATTTAGAAGTTGGAATGGTAACTAAGACAAAATTGTTATGGATGAGCAACTTCTTTATAACAATTGGGCGACGTTTCGGTGTAGATTCTAACACCGTTATCAAGCAAAAGATCTTTTGCTAGAAACTGTGTTAGAATCTACACCGATACTGAAGTGCTTCAAACTGGTACAACTCTATGTTCAATGTGTCTCATTCTTTGATTTGCAGACTTTGGAACAGTTTCTGCAGACACAGAGTTTAGCGATAGGCCCCGCACATGGTGCCAAGATCAACAACATAAGTCCAGGATCGATAAATCAGAAACCAGGCTCCAAGAAATAGAGCCTAAACAGCCGATCATATCGTTGTTCACTTGCCAACGTAGTGTTCAAGTTACTGACCAGATTAGAAATCGCCTGCATGCAGCTCATCTGCATGCTGAGCGACCACATGTTGTACCACCGTCAACAAATCGATGCATTCTAGCCGGACGCCAATAGTATATAGAGAGAATAAACTGGGGAATCGTCGACGGTTTAGTGTAATGTTTTTAGATGAGTCGAGATTCATGCTAGACTTTCTGGATAGGCGTGAACGTGTCTGGAGGCGTCCTAAAGAACATCATACGACCACAAGTGTCAGGCAAAAAGACATATTTGCGGGTGGGTCTGTAACAATATGGGGTAGAATAACTATGACTGCCAGAACGCCAATAAATATTGTCCATAGAAGGGACACTGGCCTGTACTTCAGAAACAACATACCAGCACCCATAGTTGTGCCGTTTGAGCACCAAGCTGATCCACGTTCTGTGTTTCAAGACGATAACGCTCGTACCTAACGTGCACATATCATAACTGACTACGATCAGCAGCAAAACATCACAAGAATGCGATGAGTCCTGACCTTTCCCCATTAAGCTCATCTGGGACATGTTCGGGAGTACGCCAACGTCAAGTGAGTTATGCCGCTTTTAGCAATATTCCAGCAATATCATGACGGGGGACCGAGAAATGGGCTTCACACTTTGTACCTATCGAACCCGGGTCCTCGGCGTGACGAGCGAACGCTGCAGCCACT